CCCACCGAGGAGCTTTTTCCGGATAAATCCTCTTTCCAGCAGGATTTGCGGCTCCAGCCCCCCCAGCTGTCACCCCGGGAATGTCCCCCCGCTGTCCCCAAGGCGGGGGTGGCCGGGCATTCCCCACCCCATCTGCGCTCCCCAGCCCTTCCCGCGCTTCCTGGGAAAGACCCAGCGGATATTTGGGATATTTTTCCGCGGGATCCGATGCCTCAGCATCGTTTGTCAGGCAGCTGTGGGGCTCGTGTTTAAGGAGCCTGTTAAAGCTTATTTTTAACCCTTTCACTGCTGCATCACATCCTCGGCTTGGCCGGGGGATGCTGCTGGATTCAGACACTGCCAGCCCATCATCTTTATTCTCAGGGAATGAGCCCTAAAAGCAGCCAAAGGATGAGATTTTGGTGTCTCAGGGGTTTTAAATAAATCCATCCCCAAGGCAGTGGGATGCACGCCGATGGATCTGCTGGTGCATCCAGCCCTGTGGTGCACAGGGGAGGAGGAGCAGACACCTTGGCAGAAGGTGGGAACGAGGAGGGGGTGACCCCAATCCCAAAGGATCCCAAAGGATCCCAAAGGAGGAGAGCCCAGCCCGGGCTCTGCCTGGTTCCTCTCCTGCAGTAAAAGCAATGCAGGTTCTCCCGGCGATGCCGCAGGCACAGTTTGCATCCTTGCTCAGAATTTCCCATTTATTTGGCCTCAAATGAACCCTTCTTGCTGCTTTCACTCTGTCCTGCATCTGGTGACAGCGACATCTGTGTCTCACCGGGGCTGGGGACACCCTTCGTCCCCATCCCTGGACAGGGAGTGGCACTGGCCGGGCACAGGGAGTGGCACTGGCCGGGCACAGCCTGGGATGTGTCCAGCCTCCATCCCTGTGCTGGGCATCCCTCTCCCTGGCAGAGCTCAGCCCCAGCAGTTTTGTTCATTCAGCTCCCAGGAAAATCCAATTCCCTGCTGGCCCTGGGTGTGTTGAGGCGGCCGGGCCAGGCCGGGCCGGGCCGGGGGAGGTGACAGTGCCAGGCGGGATGGCAGCAGCTCGGCCCGAGCCTCCAGAAGAGGGCACTAAAGCAGGACCTGCCCGCGTCGCCTGTCCCTGCTCCTGGAACAGATCCCTGGGAATTGAAAACGCGAGGGGACGGCGAGAGAGAAAAACAAATCCCGGTTTATTCTCCCTCCTTGCCTGGCTGTGCAGAGGGAGCGGGGACGTTTCCACCCATCCCGGCTGGGATGGCACTGATGGGCACAGGTGGGTGCTGGAAGGGCTGCAGGAC